CGGATAGAGGACCTAGTGAAAAAAGAGGCGGCGGTAGCTGACTTAATGGCCCAGGCGTCGGATAGGTGTGCCCTGCGTAGGGCCAGCTCCACCCGCTTGTCCTCAGGTTTCAAGGCCTCTAGGGCCTCACTAGGTGTGGAGGAGGAAGCTAGACCCACAATGGGGTCATCGACCTCTGGAATGTTCAGGAGGCTGGACAGTGCCGAATCGAGATTAAAGAATCTCTTGTCTTGGCTAGAGGGTGTGGGAGGGGTCCCTGTGGAGGATAGTTGCTTCGCTACCAGATCCACGAATATGGGGGGGGATGGGATGACCTCCGCTTCAACCACTGGTTGGGTGAAAATGGAGTCTTCTGGGCCCTCTGGGATGGGGGGGAGGTCAGCAGGGGCCTGGGAAAGAAGGCCCGAGACATTCTTGGCCTTAAGGAGGAGGGACTTGAACATGTGCGGTTTGAAGAGCCCCCCAAAGGTGGGTTGGTCAGGAGAAGTGCCCTCGTCCTCGGACATCTCCCCCTCCATGATGTCAGTCTCTAAGGGAGGTTCACTGTAGCGGGAGGATCCCATCTGGGAACCCTCATCCTCCTCCCCGAAGTCCCCAAAGTCCCCTTCCTCCTCAACCTGGGCCCCAACCGGAGGAGGGCTGTCCCTCTGAGAGAGTACCTGATCAACCGGGGGGACCGGTTCTGGAAGGGATCTGATAGACAAGGAGTCGTGCTCGGAGACTCGAGGAGAGAAGCCTGATCTGGACATGTGCTGTAGTTCCTCTATAACACTCTGGCGGATGGCTGATTCCATCCAAGCCCTGATGTGAGGTGGAACCTCAGATGTAGAAGGTTCATCCTGGCGCAGACCAGCAGCCGTGGGTGTAAAAGTGGCTTCAGGTGTCAGACTAATCGTAGGACCGGGGGTCGGGAGACCCTGGGGCGAACTGCGCCTAGGTAGGGAAGAAAGGCCTGGGGGGGGGAGGTTGAATAGAGGTAGGGGGTGGAGGAGGAGGTAGAGACGGCTCCAAGCGGGACTCCCTTGAACGCCTGTCGAACTCTTTTTCTAACGCCTTGTGGCGCCTTAAGGCGTCACGTTGAGAGGCCTTGGAAGGTTCCTTGTCCTTTCTAGAGCCCTTAGGTTCCTTGTCCTGCCTGCGCAAGTAGTGGGACTTTGCCTTAGCCTTCAATGAAGGACGTTTAGAGGAATTGTCGTCTGCCATATTGAATAATAGAGATTAATAAGGGCGGTTGGCTCGCCCAGATCAGGCCTGGATAAGGCCGGGTGAGGATGAGGCTGGCCCGCTCCCCCTTTTGGAATTTTACTTGTACAGAGATAACAGAAAAATATATATATTTAGATATGTAATCCTGTTTTTGTCCTTTTTTTAGTTATTTTTATTTTCTTTATATCAGCTGAATATCCAGGTACTCCGATATATTTAATATCTAAGAGAAAAAAATTTCTGTACCAAAAAATTATTTCTTTTTTGTTATTATTCCTTTTGTATTTGAATCAAATATATATTCTATTATAGTTATTTTTTTTGAATGTATATCTCTCAGTACCGGCCGAATCAGTCGAATAACGCCTGAGGCCTAGAGTTGAAGAGGAGGCCTCTGGCAGCCAGCCTCCAGACAATAGAAGAAAAACCGGAGGGGGGGGGGGCTGCAACTTCGCCCCGAAAGGGCTGCGGGAGGCCAACAAGCACTAACCAAGACTAGCCAGGCAGTTCAAAATGGGCAGCTAGGCTTTAACCCTAGGCCTGGAGTTCCAATTCACCGCAGCTGAATATTAGAGAAAAAAAAAATTTTTTTTTGGCGCCCGACCACGAGGCGGAGCCAAAATGGCGGCCGCGAGCTGAACTGCCGGGACACCTTTGGGACGGAAAGGAAGGGAGGGCTTGGCCGGTCAGCTCGGCGCGCCTAGAGCCCTAGGGGCGATAGCCCTCCCGGTCGGCGTTTAGGGTGGGGGGGAATCCAGCGAAGGAGCGCGTGCCACGGGCAACGCAAAGGCAGCGACGAGATCTGATAAGGGGGGGGGCGCGTCGCGCTAAAAGCGCTGCGAGCCCGCAACTTCGCCCCGAGGACAGGAAAAAATTTTCCTTGAGTCCGGACCCTTTGCGCAGGAGGAGGAAGGAAGGCAAACCTTATTGGGACGGAGAAATTGAGGATTCAGTGAAAACAGCCAAGGAGCTCTTTGAAACGCAGCCTGATTCTTCGAGGCTGAGCAAAAGACTGGGGAGACGCTGCGCGATGCCACGTGGGAGGGGCGGAGCGTTTCCTCGTCTAAAGCTCAGCCTGAAAGAAGAGGACTCAGAAGCACATCCCACAGTCTGGATGCTCCGAGCGGCTCGAGGGAGAATGAGGTGGTCTTTTTCCCGTAGCAGCAGTGATGGCGGCAGCTGAAGTCAAATTCTACTGTTCAGGGTAGCCTAGATATTGGGGGGGGGGGGGGGGGGGGTGAACAGAGATTTGTCTCCTTTGTGTATGAGACACACTATCAGTCAAGGTATTTTCTGAATTTGATGTAGCAGTGAACCCTTTCCACCTCAGCCTAGCTACTGAGGTAGTTACTACTACACTGTTAAAGCTAACAAGATCTCAGCTTGAATACAATCCCACTAAGATTTTTTTGGTCTTTCATGGGTTTCAATAAAATGAAAGTCAGATACCTGCTCAGACATAATTGTCTACTATAGGCTTGGGCTGGTTGCTTTCTAATGGAATGTCTTGGATTTAAAATGTTACTTTGTTAGTTTTTGCAATACTGTAGCCTGACATCCTATTCCAGTGGTGGCAAACCTTTTTCAGCTTCCGTGCCAATAATTGCACACGCACTTGTACCAGCACCCAGAAGGCAATGCGTGCTGGTCCCACCCCCTGCGCATGCGCACGTGATCCCCTTGCCATGCATCTCTGCACCCGCAATTCCATTGTGCGCCATGCATGTGCATGCGTGCACGTTCACCATCTGCACATGCAAGCCCAGTATGCGTTGTGCATTTCCGCATATGCATGTGTCTCCCCTGCGCATCCCGCGTCAGATACCAGACAATCAGCTGTCAGGCGCAAGTGGGCGTGCATGCGCAGTGGGGCTCTTCCAGGCGAGCTCTCGCGTGGTGGTGGGAATGGTTCTGTGTGCCACTTCTGGCACATGTGCCATAGGTTCGCCATCACGGTCCTATTCCGACATCTGCAGCTCATGAAACATCAAGTTTTAAAAGGCAACTTTTATTCCCAAAATACATGTAGAAGTACGGAGTTTCCCAAGCTGGAAAATAGGCGAATCGTTTATTGTTCAGAAATAAGCTCATTGTTTCCTCAACTTATTCTTATTTAAAATCAAAACAATCTCATCCTTTGATTCAAAGTTTTGTATCAAAAGATGAATTTGCTTTTGTGGGAGCAAAAGTGATATCGAAGGGGGCAGACTAATCGTTTCATGGTAATGTGCAAAGTCTGTTGTAACCTAAAGTTTTATTACTTTGCCAAAATTATCAGTAAACATGTTTTTTAAAAAAAAAAAAAAAAAGATGTGCTGTTCAGTTTACAAATGTAACTATTTTCTTTGTCAAGTAAGGCAGCCAGAACTGCTAGGCAGCTGAGCAAAAATTGCGTTAGATAGAATTGCTTCATGTGAATTAATTCTGGGACAAACACATCACTGTAGTTTAGATTCAAATCAAGCATATTTTAATGAACAGGGAGGTCCAGACAAAGTAGAGCATTTATAGCTATTCTTCTCCCTCCTCTTCATCTTCATATGAATCAATGCCCACCTCCTCATAATCCTTCTCCAGGGCAGCCATGTCTTCCCGAGCCTCAGAGAATTCCCCTTCTTCCATCCCTTCCCCGACATACCAGTGCACAAAGGCCCTCTTGGCATACATTAGATCAAACTTGTGGTCCAGGCGGGCCCAGGCCTCAGCAATGGCCGTGGTGTTGCTCAGCATGCACACTGCCCGCTGAACCTTGGCTAGGTCTCCCCCGGGAACCGCAGTGGGAGGCTGGTAGTTGATGCCCACTTTAAAGCCTGTAGGACACCAGTCTACAAACTGGATGCTGCGCTTGGTCTTAATGGCAGCAATGGCAGCATTGACATCCTTAGGTACCACATCGCCTCGATACAAAAGGCAGCAGGCCATGTACTTGCCATGGCGGGGATCACACTTCACCATCTGGTTAGCAGGCTCAAAGCAAGAATTGGTGATCTCAGCCACAGAAAGCTGCTCGTGGTAAGCCTTCTCCGCAGAGATGACCGGAGCATAGGTAGCCAGAGGGAAATGGATACGAGGGTAGGGCACTAGATTGGTCTGGAACTCTGTCAGGTCTACATTCAGAGCCCCATCAAAGCGCAGCGAGGCAGTGATGGAGGACACAATCTGGCTGATAAGGCGGTTGAGGTTTGTGTAAGTTGGCCGCTCAATGTCCAGATTCCTTCGGCAGATATCATAGATGGCTTCGTTGTCCACCATGAAAGCACAGTCTGAGTGCTCAAGGGTGGTATGTGTGGTGAGGATCGAATTGTAGGGCTCCACCACAGCTGTGGAGACCTGTGGAGCTGGGTAAATAGCAAATTCTAATTTGGATTTCTTGCCATAATCAACAGAGAGACGTTCCATCAACAAGGAAGTAAATCCTGAGCCAGTTCCTCCTCCAAAGCTGTGAAAGACCAAAAATCCTTGGAGTCCTGTACATTGGTCAGCCTGTGAAAAAGAAATTATCACTCATCACTTTGCATCTCTTAAGTTACAATGCAAAGTGTTATTTTTACCTGGAAAATCTGAACAAAAAAATCCATTCCACTATTTCATTTATTTTCCATAGATGCCCGTCTCAACCAATTGGTTACTTGGAGGTCATTCTCTTTTGCCTCAGGATATTAGCCTCAAATCATTAACTACACACACAAGATCTCTTTATACAACCAAGCCAGGCATGGTATGTTTTCTGTTTCATAATTAATTAAGAGCAAGTAATTTTTCAAGGTTAGAAGGCAGCATCTGGTATTACAGTTGTGGCAACCGATTATACAAGGGAGCAGGGTTGGCTGGAGTGTGATGGAGAAGTTCACTAGAATGCGTGTGCCAAGTATACCAAGTTCAAATGCATCCTGAGAACTTGAGCTTGGTTCCAGGAAGGAAGAGGCAGTGCTTGCCAACCAGCTGCAAACCCATCTACCCCACATGTCCTTCCTCCCCATTCATAGAAGATTCATAGAAGCTTCTGACTACAGTTACGAGCAAGAGGCGAAAAAAAGAGTGCGCAAGCAATGAGGAGATAAAGAGGAACTAAGAAGAAGAAATAAAAGTTTGGAAGAGCAAAGGCAACAACATTTTTTAACTGAGAGTGGTTTCTTAGGAACGAATGTTTAAATTCAGAGTAAGGTAACCTTTACAGTCAACTGGATCAGTAGGAAGGAGTTCTGGAACACTGATGAATAGAAAGAGGACGGGTAGAGCAATGCAGGGAAAGTGAGAGGTATAGGCCCCAAGGCAGTGTTTCTCAACCTTGACAACTTTAAGCTGTGTGGGGAATTCTGGGAGTTGGGAGTTCACATATCTTAAAACTTGCTGAAATTGAGAAACACTGGCCTAAAGGAATAATGAGTGGCTGAGACAAAATTAGAATTGGGAAACATCACATACAGTAAGAGTGATTAGAATCAGGAAGACATTCATTCTGATCAGAAGGACACAAAAAGACAAGGGTGAAGCATAAAGAAACATTCTGAATTTTGCATTCATTTGCACTGCACCCAGTATCCTCAGCTTCTAAAACAAAACTTGAATGAATGGAATAATGGAATGAAATACCACTAACCCACCCTCTAAAGAGGTGTAACATGGCAAAATAATGCCTAGAATTATCCAGAAAGTGCATAAATAACCAATAGCCATCCTGGACCTCAAGTCCCCGCTATCCCAACATCTCCACCAGTCTCAGGCAGAGTTCCTTCCATTCCTCCAAAAAGTCCATATCCCCATCCTTCATTGCAATTATTACCAGTTTGCGAATCCTATCCAACACCAAGTCAATGATCTCCTTGCCAATGGTGTAATGTCCACGGGCATAGTTGTTGGCAGCATCTTCCTTTCCAGTGATTAGTTGCTCTGGATGGAAGAGCTGACGATAAGTGCCACTACGAATCTCATCTGGAAAAGATTAAGAGGATGTAAAGTTTATTACAGTGTACTGTATACTTTCAAGCAGACACCCAGCAAGCTGAACAATTCAACAAGACATCTAAGGAAGGATATTGAGTGCAGCCAAAATCTTGCAGAAGATCCGGAGGAGTTACATGCTTCTCATTCTAGGACAGAATCACTTTATCAGGAGGCTACTTTACTGAGTTATTTCAACTGAATGTCTCTGTGGGAACTGAACAAGGAGTTGGCAAGTCAAGTCTCTTCTCTAGGAGCCATACTGAGTGGTAATTCTGGGTTCAGCAGACCCCATACATCTAGGAGCGAATTGGATAAGAACGTACCTAAGAAATTCAGACTAAAACTGCATGTTTTGCTCTGTCTAAAGAAGAACTGAATGAATCTGAGCCTATTTGAGAAAAGTTGCTGCTCTTCTCTTCTAGGAGTCAACATTTCCATAGATGTACTCACCAATCACAGTGGGCTCCAGGTCCACAAAGACAGCCCGGGGGACATGCTTCCCAGCACCAGTTTCACAGAAGAAGGTAGTAAAGGAGTCGTCTCCACCACCAATGGTCTTATCACTTGGCATCTGTCCATCTGGCTGAATTCCATGTTCTAGGCAATACAGTTCCCAGCAAGTATTGCCCATCTGCACGCCAGCTTGACCGACATGGACAGAGATACACTCGCGCTACAGAAAGAAGAGAAAGTTGACTTCTCAGAGTGCTATCACAAGCAAGGCATCAAGCTGTGAGTTCAATAGAGATAATATATATATCATCTTGTGTACCATTACTGGTAGAAGGTGTTTTACCAGGCCATTGGCTCAACTGGGTATTCTTGTGGGTTACAAGTTAAAGGTAATGATTTTCTTTTCATTTTTGAGAATGGGAAACCAGGAATATTTCATTGTAGAATTTTAATGAACATTACATCCATATCAAACCTGTATTTGGAATGGAATTGTTTCTAAACCTACTGAACAAGAGAGCAATAACAATGCCACACAAGAGACAACAAATGCAGCTAAGCTGCCTATGTACTTTTGAAATTACAAGTTATCGTAAGAGGAACAGTACTTACTTAAGTGTTAAGTGTAATACCAAAATAACTGTTTTAGAAGGGAGAAAATGAGCTTGAGCTATTCATTATATCAAGAAGGTTCAGTGATCATTTCAAAATGAAATGGCAGCAGTTCCTGAAGTCAGCAAAACAGGAAGCAGAGTTAAGAAATCTATTGCATACCAAAGCCGCAAGGAACTTTATACAAACTGCCAGCCTGTGCACTTCCACGCCTTCCACTTCAACATGTGCAAATATAATTTCCTTTTCACATCTACACATCTATAGCCTATAAAATGCATGCACACTTTGCTAGCATGTTCACCTCCCACATTATACATAGCACATTTATTAAATTTAAATTAAATGCCCCTCTCAAGATCTGGATTCCTCTCTTTGAAATCCAAATTTAAGTTTAGACATTTCCTACCCAAGTCAGTATCAAGACAGTGGTCATGTTCACTGTAGGTTTCAGTTCTGAAGTTCAGAAAGAAGTCACATCTGCATAGATAGCAAAGCTCATTGGAGCGAAAGAAAGAAGAAAGAAAGAAAGAAAGAAAGAAAGAAAGAAAGAAAGAAAGAAAG